CGTTCTGGAGGATGTGATGGATCCATCAGGACGTCGGAGGGCAGTCATCTTGGTCTTATAGTTGGCGAAGGACAGGCGGGTGTTACGAATACTTTTCCCGGCTTCTGCCGCATCTACCAGTACTTCTGCTCTTCTCTCTTTGAGGTCTTCCTTGATCGCATCTCTGCACTGCTTTGCGAGCTCGGACGTTAGCTTGCGGTTGCCTGAGGCATGCGCCAAACCACGCTGGCGAATTAGCTCAAGAGTTTTCGAAGATAGGCGATTTTTTGTGGCTATCTCTCTCTTGGCGTTCCTCGCACATTCATGGAGGTGCTGAACCAGTCGATCGTATTCCTCATCAATGTTGTCAACAATGGCATCTTCCCATGTTGCTGCAATAGTACCAAAGAGTTCCCAGTTGGTGGTCATTCTGGGAGTTCTCTTTTTGAACTTTGCAGCCCTTTCTCCCCACTCTGTGAAGTAGAATTTTGCACGAAGGAGACGGTGGTCCGATCCCGTTTGAAATTTTGGGACAACAGCGACATCAGTCAGGCAAAACCGTCGATTGAATATGCTGTGGTCTATTTCGTTGTGGAATTGTCCACCGGGATACTCCCATGTCCATCGTTTAGATTCTGCCTTCTGGAACTATGAGTTACCATGAATGGTCTTGGTCGACATGATGAACTCAGACAGTCTCTCACCCTGTTTGTTCCATTCTAGGCCATGGGTCCCGATGTGAAGTTCTTCAGCTGATCTTCTCGGTCCTATCTTGGCATTAAAATCACCCACAATGATCTTGTAGAAGGTGTGGTCTTCTTTATAGAACTTCTCTAACTCCATGTAGAACTTCTCGATTTCTCTTTCATCATAATGAGATGTTGGTGCGTAGACAACGAAGATAGAAACTGCAGGCAGTGAGCCACATCTATTCAAATGTAAACGTCCGATTCGGGTTGTTAGGCATTCGAATGAATCAATGCTCTTGGCCAAGTTTGTGTTGACAAGGCCACCGACGCCTCCAACACCTCTTTTATCGCATGTTCCGAGGAACAATTCTTCTCCAGTGTCGAAAACGGCATGGTGAGATTCGTGCCTTCTTGTCTCAGTCAGACCAATGATGTCGTACTTGATCATTCGCGCTTGTACCATCAGATCCTCGATGGATGCATCTGATGCTAGCGTACGTGCATTGAAAGTACAGACGATCATTTTTGTCTTTCTTCGTTGTGGCAGCCTAGGTCGGCCTTGAGATTTTGTCGGCCTCTCCTTTCTCATCCTTCTCAGTGCTGCCATGTCGGTGAAGCCTTCAGGGTCAGGTGAATGAGACCAGTTGTAGTTACTGGTTTTGGCATATCGAATACACAGCGGATAGCTTGCCAGGCTCTTCCATGCGGGCGGAATACTCTCGGTAGCTTGCCAGTCTTTCCGAGACACTACTTGGACACTACTTGGACACTACTTCCACTACCCAGCCGTCGCCACACTCCAGGACGCTTTCCGGACTTGCGCGGCCGCAAGCGGCCACGCAACACATCATAAGACACTAAATACCCATCTTCTGGAATTGTTGTACCATATTTGATAGGGTTCAAATATGGTAACACCTACAAGGGTGATTAGAGGTCACCCCAAAAGCCTCTATCCCTCTCGGAAAGACTGGCAAGCTACCGAGAGTATTCCGCCCGCACGGAAGAGCCTGGAAACACAGAATTATTGTATTTAATTCTGTCACTCTTATCTGTCACTCTTGTCTGTCACACACACATTATTTATGTCACTCTTTGCCAACAATTTAGGAAAGCTAAAGCAGAGAAGAAAGGAAGTGCTTGATAAAAGTTTTTGAAACTAAGTTACAGTTAATGATGATTAATTTCTGGAGAGAGTCCTTTTGATATGTGAAGAGCTATATGTAACAAATAGCTTTATAATCATTGATTCTATTGAGATATAGATTTCCCCTTGATTTTGGAAAGCTTTTCTCAGTCAAAGAGCTTTGACTCAAAGGGACTGCCTAAGGAGATGATTTCTGTAGCTTGAAAAGTTTCATAGACAGTTACTAAATCAATACGTTTTGGAATAGTCTTGTAGTTGGATGAGCAGACCAGGCCTGTCTGTGCTAAGATATCATGATTCTTAATGTCAATTTTTGCTTGTTTTTCTTTGTTGGTGCTGCCATCTTTTTCAAGGTTTCTGTGCTTGAGGTCTTTTTCCTCTTCTTTTGAATTCTTTAAGGGTTTGCTTTGTGTCAAGATTTGTAGATTTTTCAATTTCATTCTCTCTTTTTCTGAGACAGTTATAGGAACATTAGTATCTTCAGATTTGATTTTTGGAATTATTTTTCCTATTGAAAGAGCGAAAATATCAACTGCATTCATTAATGAGGATGGACTATAATTATGTGAATTATGGCTTTTAGTAACTAATTTTATGTGGGGAAAGGATTGAAAGTAGCCAAAAATGTATTTTTCTGATGAGAAATTAGCATATTATTTCAGTAAGCATTCACGTAGTAAATATTTTAGTTGTTTTGAACTATGCGGCCTCACAACTCTGCCATTGTAGCATGAAGGTATAACGTGGGAATGAGCACAAACCTTTATTACAGGTTAGATTGTGGGCTAGATTTGACCTGAAGATTTTTAACCCAAATTAAGGCAAGCTCAGATTACCAGAAATTTAGTAGAAATTTAGTTTATTGGTAAAACCAGAGGAATTGCAGTTCAGAACATACTGTAGCAAACTACACATGAGTGCCTTGAGGTTTTGGGGTGGGCTGTATTTATGGGCAAGGAGTGGAAAAGAGTGAAGTTTTGCCTGAGTCATAGCAGTGAGTTCTTTGATTTTGAAGGTGAATAGAGATTTCTTGATTATCACTGATCAGGGATTCCTTGTGGTAATTGTCAGTCATACATGTATGGGTTATCAGTCTCAGTTCTTTTTGGGTTTGTTTTTGGGGTAAACGTGGTGGTGCCCAGGGTTTACTCCTACCTTGAACTCAGGGATCCCTCCTGGCGGTATCATATGGGTTGCCAGTAACTGAGCCAGGTCAGCCAAGTGCAAGGCAAACATCCTACCGGCTGTACTATCACTCCAGACCAGTCTCTCAAGTAAGTTGAAGGTACAAATCAGTCTTTTCATTTTTATTTATCATCTCTTTATTGACCTCCCAGTGTACTCAGGAAGCGAGCAGCATCTCCTGGTGATTCTTGGGAAGGTGGGCTGGTGTTTCAGTGCAGGATCCCCAGGATGTGGTGCTTTATGGGGCCTGTGAGGCAGAGGTTCACCAGGGCTACCCAAGTGGTGCCAGGGGTACAACTGGGGTTGGGCACATGCATGTGCCTTAACCCCTATACTATCTTTCTGGCTGTTTTATTTTTTAACTCCCAATCTTCTTAGGGTGCTGATATGATAATATCTCCTGTTCTATTTTAGACTAAAATCCTTTCACACTTCTCCCTCTTGCCCAGATCGCTTTCAGAAAGCATCATAAGTATAACCATTTTGTTTGGCATGGTTTCCTTCTATCGTTTCTTTTCTCCTTCCTGCGTTCCTTCATCCTTTCTTCCCATCCTCCCTGCCTTCTTTGTTCTTAATGAAGATTTCGCACTTTTCTCTTATTGCTGAGGAGGATCTCCTCAGGTGTCTTGTCATGAGAGAGATGGCGAGAGGGAGGTTAGCCCCACAGAACAGATGAACAACAGATGAGCAACTTAGAATCTCAGTCATGCTACTCTGGGGTGCTTAGCTCAATTTCCATGATCACTTAAGTTTTGGGATAAGCACAGAAAACATTTTCTTAATAAAGCGTACTAAGGAGACTATTTGTTTTTTATAAACAAAATAATCTTTTTTAAATTTATATATACATATATATTCAAAAGAGAGATTGCTGCATCTTATGCTATGAAATAACCATGGTTGAAAGACACAGAGATATATTTGAGCTAATAAAAAACATTCTGAAGAGTAGGATATGAAAGACTTGAATCTAGCTTAAATTTTATATTTATTAGAATCATGGGGAAACTTGGTTCAAATTTTGGAGTCTTACCCAGAGGAAGATGTATGGAGATAATACTGAGAAATGCCAAATTAAAGTAAGCACATGAATAGTTTTGTCCAAAATTAAAAAGTGCTACAGAATGTATCCCATACCTGGCAGCTAGCCTGTTTTGTAGAGACAAAGCTATATCTGAAATGAAGAAAATATTTAGGTTGAGTTGTTATTAGGAACAGTTATTAATTAATTATCACAGTAACTATTGTAACTATTGCCTATTTTCATTTTAAAATATCAGTTGTATTAAAGATTGTTGTTACTGTTGTTACTGTGTTTGGCATATCGAATACGTCACGGGGAGCTTGCCAGGCTTTGCCATGCGGGCGAGATACTCTCAGTAGCTTGCCGGGCTCTCCGAGAGGGGCGGAGGAATCGAACTCGGGTCAGCCTGGTTGGCCGCGTGAAAGGCAAATGCCCTACCCGCTGTGCTATCACTCCAGCCTCCCTTTTATTTTTACAATATTTAATTTATAATTGTAATTATTATTTTCGTTGACTAGACACGCTTATTTTATTGTTTTCTGTGGCTGTAATTTATCTTTTTATGGTTGTATAGTGCAGTCCCAACTCTTTTAACTACTGAGAGCTACAGACTGCCATGGATAAACGTGCATAGGGCCTAATCTAAAATCCACCTGAATTCTAGCAAACTGCACTAATTCTTCCTGAATGTAGCTTAAGTCAGGCATTTGTCCCAAGTGATATTGTCAGTTACTCTGTTGTTTAAAGGTGAAATTGATTTAAATTATTGAGTTACATGGTTTCTACCAATATATAATTAATATTTGTAATTATTGAACCTTAGTTAGAAACTGTTGGTAAGAGTTGACTATTCCTAGGCCAAATTACTTAAGTCTTGATTCCTTGCTGTCTAAATATGAGCTCCATCAATCCTGTTCCTATTTCCATGCAGTTACAATCTTATTAGAGTAATATAGAGTGTGTTTTTAATGTCTAGGAAGAAGTGGTGAAATTGACTGAGAAATGTCTTAATAATGCCATTGAAAGCCCAGGATTGAATGCCAGGAGAATGCCTCCAGACTTGAAGAGTAACATTTTAAAGGCTCAAGTAGAAGCAGTACATAAGGTAAGATACCTTCAATAGAAAGGGCCCTGGTGGAGTAAAGAGAGCATGAGATTTAAGAACAAATGAAGTATGTGAGTGTAAAATAAGAGGGAGCTACTGAATGATTAGACATATATGTAGTAGTATTGAGAGATATTCACAAGATAGCAAAATGCCTTCTCAAATCTTATGTTTTAATTAAGATAGAGGGGAGCAGTCATAGGAGAAAAAGTGAGACTAAAAAATTCTAGGAAATAGAAGTTAAAAAAAAAGTCAAATTCCTTTAGAAGCGAGTCTCTAGTCTTTACTACTTTATAGCCAGAAAAATCTAATGGTTTTTAGGTTTCTGTCAATATTAAATATGATTTTAGGCCTTAGAAAAGTAAACCGCAGGGCTGAAGTGGTAGGGGGTTTTCCTTGCGCACGGCCAATCTGGGTTCAATTCCCAGCATCCCATATGGTCCCGCAAGCACCACTAGGAGTAATTCCTGAGTGCAAGAGCCGGGAGTAACCTCTGTGCATCGCCAGGTGTGACCCAAAAAGCAAAAAAAAAAGAAAAGTAAATGGCATAAGAAAAGAGAGGCAACCCAAGAATGGTTGAGATAAGTACCAGGAGGTCCGCTTTATGGCTTGGAAGCCGGCAGCACATGCTGGGGGAAAACACAGCTCAGATAGAGTAGGGAACATCAAGTAAAGGGTATTTGGAGGACTCGCTCGGGATGGGAGACATGCACTGAAAATAGACTATAGACCGAACATAATGGTTACTCAATACCTCTATTGCAAACCACAACACCCTAAAGGAAAGAGAGCAAAAGGGAATGCCCTGCCATAGAGGAGGGGTGGGGTGGGGGTGGGATGGGGGGATGGGAGGGCTATTTGGTTCTTTGGTGGTAGAGAATGGGCACTGGTGGAGGGATGGGTACTTGATCATTGTATAACTGAAACCCAAACACAAAAATATATAAGTCTACAACTGTACCTCATGGTGTTTCACTAATTAAAAAAAAAAGAGAGAGGCAGGGGCTGGAGCAATAGCACAGTGGGTAGGGTGTTTGCCTTGCACGCATCCCATATGGTCCCCTGAGCACTGCCAGGAGTAATTCCTGAGTGCAGAGCCAGGAGTAACCCCTGTGCTTAGCCGGGTGTGACCCAAAAAAGAAAAGAGAGGCAAAGGGATTTGCAGGGAAGAGCAAAGATATGTGTTCAAAAATGTCAGAGCCCACATCTATCCACAGTTTGGTAAGAGGGAATGATAGTCACAAAGTGAAGAGCTGACAGTGGTGTTGAAAAGGATCCAGTGGAGAAGAATCAGTCCCCACTATGTTTCTGGCATTCATATTATCAAAGTACATTTTCCCTTGGCTTTCCCAAACTTTCACACTTCTAAAGCAGGGGAGCTTTTTCACCAAATCCATTGTCAAATAAGATTTAAAAATATGCCATTAGTACTCACTTTGCCTTCTGGTGTACAGACACAAGCCTTGAAGAGAACTGAGAAGACTTAGTAATATTGTTCTTATTTTTGGCCAACCCTATCTCACCAGTGTACACATAAAATAAAAATAAACTATGGCAGTAAGACTTTAGAATTAGAGAACTTGAGTTAGAATTCAATTTCTAGTTTTTTCCTACAGCTTTGTGATTTGAGGAGGTCTGGTGATGCTTGCTGCAGTGGAGTGGTTGTCATGGTTGGTCACGTGTGTGTTCACAGGGCCACGTTCCTGGTCATGGGTATGGTCACATATCTCTTAGTCCTGGTGCTGGCCTGCAGTTCTTCCTTTGAGCTGCAATGCTTTCACACACATGCCTGCTGGATGGTGCATAGATCATACACTTTGTTGTGCCCAGAGTTGTGTTTTATGTTTTGGTTTTTGTCACTAAGCCATCTCCTGGGCCCAGGGTAAGGATTTTTATAGTATTACATTGGAAATTTTAAGGAACAATTTTGGGGGGTTAATAGAAATGATACATGTTAATTGAGGTTTATTTATGTATTGATAACATGTTTTCAAAATCTATCAAACTGCACTTTAAAAATGTGTTTTCTAGGACAATGAATTAGAAAATTTCTAGACTTTTCTAAAAATATCTCTTGTGCTTGAGTTGGGCGAGGTGAAGGGATACCACACAATTAATCTGTTTTAATATAGTTCAATTTTTTAAGAAATTAAAATTGTTCTGGTATTAAATCTTTTTGCATTCTGTTATCTGTTGATTAACATGCCTTATTGTCTTAAATACTTGAAAGTTGAGTTGGAGAATACAGGAGTTAAGGTTCATGCCTAGCATACAGCCAACCCTGGTTTGATCCCAGACACTGCTTAAACACCTTCTTGCCCCCTGACTCTAAACACTATAGATAGCAGTGTAGCACTGTCCTCCCATTGTTCATCGATTTGCTCGAGCAGGCCCAGTGACATTTTGAGACTTGTTGTTAACTGTGTTTGGCATATCAGATACATCATGGGTAACTTGCCAGGCTTTGCCGTGAAGGCGAGATACTCTCAGTAGCTTGCCATTTGGTCCTAAATTCCCCCTCAAAATAATAATTGACAGATTTCTAGTAAAGTATGTGATTTTTGTTTGGTTTGTTTTTCGGTTTGGGACCACACCCAGCTATGCTCAGAGTTTACTCCTGGCTTTGTGCTCAGGGATCACTCCTGGCTATGTGCTCAGGGGACCATATGGGATGACAGGAATCGAATCCAGGTCAGCAGTGTGCGAGGCTAATGCCCTACCCACTGTACTCTCACTCCAGCCCCAGCATGTAAACTTTTGTAATAATATATTGAAGTGAAAGTTTGGGTAGTTAATTTGGGTGTGGGTTAGGATTTTACTCAGGTGCAATACTGATATTTCCATAGGTAAAATATGATTGTTCTTTAGGGGACTCAAGCAAACTGATAATTCTATTTTTAATGAAAACAAATATAAAATTTTTGTTACATTCGTTTCCTTAACAATGATTTAATGGCTTTTTTATGGTTGCCTTTTTTTCAGGTTACAGGAGAAGACAGCTTATTAAGTCATAAAAATGCCAGTGTTTCAGATGCTTCCACAAACAGGTACGAACAATTCTGGATAGAATGAATTAGATTGATGTTCTTTTTCTCTTATTTCAGTTTGAAGTCTTTAGTCTTCTTCCCTAATCTTTCACTACATGATTTCAGGATACATGTATTTATTTCTAATAAATGCCTATTAGGGGTAGAATTTCATGCCTCTTCAAAAATATATGATGATGATAATGTCACATCTACCACCAAAGAACTTCCTCCCATTTATCCCCACTCCAGCATCTGGTAGCCTCAGTTCTGTGATCTGAGTCCATGGGCTTATTTTTATTTGTTTTTTCCCCCTATTCTCTTACTTTCTTTCCCAGGATCCCACATATGAGTGACATAATTTGTATTTATCTTTTTTTCTTTCTGACTTACTTTACTTAGCATGAATGACTACTAATTCCATCTGTGTTGTTACAAAAGACAAGATGTCTTCTTTTCTTATGGCTAACCGGAACTTTGTGTTGTATATGCACCACATTTTTAAAAATCCATTCATCCAGTGTCATTTTAGATGCTTGAGTTATTTTCAGATCTTGGCTAGAAATAAGCATTGCAATGAACATAGATGTGTGTGTGTGTGATTGTGTATGTGTGTTCTTGGGAGAGATACCTAGGAGTGGAGTTTCTGCATCCCTGTAGTGGATCTATTTTGAATATTTTGAGAAATCTTCATTTTTTGTTTTTCCATGGAGACTAAACCAATTTACATATCCACCGACATATGAGGGTTCCTTTTCCCCCACACCCTCACCAACACTCCATGAGGCTGGTCTTTGTGATATACACCATTCTTACTAATGTGAAATGATCTCTCATTGTTTTAATTTGCATTTTCCTGATATTAAGTGATAATAAGCTTATTTTCCTGTACTGGTTGACCATCTGTATGTCTTCCTTGGTGAAATTTCTGCTTAGCTCTTTACCCACTTTTTGATGGGGTTATATGAATTCTTGTTGAACTGTGAAATCCTTACGTATTTTGGATAATGACACTTTGTTTTATGCATAGCCTGCAAATACTTTCTCCTATTCAGTAGGATGTCTTTTGATTGTAATAGTGATTTCTTTTGCTATGGCACAGCAAAAACTGTGGCAGTTGCTTATTTCATATTTGTATACCAAATATCAAGCTTTGTCACATTTTACGACAGTAAACTTAGAACATTTTTAAAGAGCTTTTTTTTTTTTAGTTCGAATTTTCATACCATAAAATTAACCTCTAAATAGATACAATTCTGGGGCTGGAGTAGTAGCAGGTAAAGCATTTGCCTTGCACACGGCCAGCTGACCTCAATTCAATCCCTGACACACCATATATTCCACCAGTAGTGATCCCTGAACTAAGAGCGAGAAATTAGCTCTGAGCACCATCACATATAGGCCAAACACCAAAAATTAATAACTAAATAAAATCTGTAAGTTCATGGGGTTATGGAAATAATTTAAAGGAACATGCCAGGCAGGTGTGAACCCCAAGTTTGAGTCCTGACACCAGGTGGTCCTCAAACAGTACCAGGCAGGGTATGACGGCTTTGGAGACCCCAGAGTAAATACATAACTAAATGTATTTATTAATTTCATATAATTCAGGGCCTTTTTGGTACACTGACAAAATTGTGTAACCATTACTACTGTCTAATTTCATAACCTTGTTATCACCCATAAAGCAAAGTTCCTGCCCATTTGCAGGCTCTTCATATTCCTCTTTGCCTCTATAGCACCTACCACCCACTCATCAATTTTCTTCCTCAGTTGAATTGCCTACTCTGAACAGCCTATATGAATGGAATCATATAAGTGGCGCTTGGTGTTTAACTTCTTTATTTAACAAAATATTTTCAGGTTTCATCTATATTGTAGCATGCATTGATACTTTACTCTTTTTTTTCTTTTTGGGTCACACCCAGTGATGCACAGGGATTACTCCTGGTTCATGCACTCAGGAATTACTCCTGGTGGTGCTTGGGGGACCATGTGGGATGCTGGGAATCAAACCTGGTTGGCCGCATGCAGGGCAAATGCCCTGCCCACTGTGCTATCGCTCCAGCCCTGATACCTTCCTCTTTATGGCTGAATAATTTTTCACTGTATAGGTAATTTCATTTATTTTAAATCAATTAATGAACATTTTGTACTACCAAGTATAAAACTGCTTAGAACATTCTCATGCAAGATTTTCTAGAGACATTCTTTTTTTCTCTTTTTAAAAAATTGTTATTAGTGAATCACCATGGGGTACAGTTACAGACTTACAAACTTGCGTGCTTATGTTTCAGTCATATAATGATCAAGAACCCATTCGTATACCAGTGCCCAGTATCCACCACCAATGGTCCCAGTATACCCCCACACTGCCTCTGAGGCAGGGCATTCCCTTTTGTTCCCTCTAGAGACATTCTTGTTCTTTCTGTTCTTTCTAACATTTCTAGGAAGGAGAATTGCTGAATTTCATAGTTTAACTCAGTTGCTCTCAGTTAGACTCTTTGAAGGATTTCTGGCTGTCTCCAAAACAGTTGCCATAATCTCTTCCCACCAGGAATGTGGGGGGGTCCAATTTCCCCATGTCCTTGTCAGTACTGCTTAATCTCTGTTTTTCAAATTTTACTCATCCTAATGAGTGCTATCTTATTATGGCTTTGATTTTTATTTACCTGAGTAGGTTTAATAATGTTAAATATGTTTCAGTTACATGTCTTCTTTGGAAAAATGTCTATTCAAATCATTTATCATTTATCAAATAGTAAAAGCTATTCTGTAGCTCTAACTTTACTGAGAGAGTAATTGATTCAATAACTTTATTGAATCTAACTTTACTAGATTCAGATAGTACCCAGTTCACCCTTTAAAGTGTATAATACAATGTTTTGTTTGTTTCAGTATATCTTAATTTTAAAATGTTACAGCAGTAGTGCGTTTGCCTTGCATGCAGCCAGCCTGGCTGAGCAAGGTTCGATTCCTCCACCCCTCTCGGAGAGCCTGGCTAGCTACTGAGAGTATCTCGCCCATATGGCAAAGCCTGGCAAGCTACCCATGGCGTATTCAATATGCCAAGTAACAACAAGTCTCATGATGGAAACGTTACTGGGCCTGCTTGAGCAAATCGATGAACAACAGGAGTACAGTGCTATATTTCTTAATTCTGTTTTTGAATCCATCAGAATTTATTCATTCTCACGTTAATGGATGCATTTTTGTCACAAATGAATGTTAGATTTTTTTTCCTTGCACACATTTTGTAAGTTGTAAGGATTGTTTTAGAGGGGGTACATTTAGAAGTGAAATTACTGGACATGACCCTAGCTAAACATACTGGATTGGCATAGTCTGCTTTGGGGGTTATTTTTAAGCAGTATTAAGTATATGGGGTTGGGGCTACATAGTACAGGGGCAAAGTGCTTGCCTTGCATGCAGCTGACCTCTGTTTGATCTTTGGCACCTCATATGGTCTCTTGAACTCCATCAGGAGTGACTCCTAAGCAATGCTGGGTGAGGCCCAAAAAGCCAAACCCTTAAAAATGAATATGTGAATAATCTCTTTTGTTTAAAGGTTGGGAAAATTCATCATAAAATATTTTATTCCTTTTAATGATCACTCTTTCTTCTACTGACTCCTTTTCTGTGAGTTTTTTTTTTCTTTCTAAGAACAAAGCTATTTTTTCTGTTGGTAATTTTTAGGTTTTACTAATTACCCTTAAAAGTTTTATATTTTCGGGAAAGAAAGATGGTGGCCGCACGGGAGCCTTGTGGATAGCAGGTTTGAGCTGGGGGCGGGGGGCAGCGGGGGCCTCATGGGAAGGGGGGCGTTCTGGGCCGTCCTTCACGCCCGACCGAGATCACCAGCTGCCCCCCACGAGCGGCTCTCCGGCATGGCCACGGCCCCGGAGGCACAAGAACTTAGCACAGAGAACCAGCCGCTTGGAGCAGAAAAGCAAATGGACTATGTGTTAAACCGAGCCACCAAGCCTGCCTGGAGGGGAAAGGGTGTTGTCCCGCTCGCCCGCTCCTCTCTGGAAAGAAAGATGGCGGCCGCACGGGAGCCTTGTGGACAGCAGGTTTGAGCCGGGGGCGGGGGGCAGCAGAGGCCTCATGGGAAGGGGGGCGTTCTGGGCCGTCCTTCACGCCCGACCGAAGTCACCAGCTGACCCCCACGAGCGGCTCTCCGGCATGGCCACGACTCCAGAGCACAGAAACCAATCTCTTAACTATCTAACTTTTAATAGAAATACTTCCAGGGTTAATAAGTGAAACAGCAGAAATCCAAAACCGCGCGGCCGCCATTGCGGCCGCGCGACATCATTTTATTCTTAAACCAAGCTGTAGAAAACAAATCATTTCACAACACTGTTTCAGCATATCTGATTGGGGGGGTGGTCCTAAACTCTAAACAATAATTGTGTATCTTCTATCGAAACAATGTATCTAGTCAAAGTAGATAGAGTATTAACTAGAACTCATCTGCGTCACAGGAATTGGGAGGTGTGGGAGGTGGGGTTCTATTGGGGTTCATGGTTAAAAATAAGTATTGGTAAAGGGAAATGTGTTTGATACTTACATGACTGAGACCTAAACCCGAAAGCTCTGTAACTTTTCCCAGTGATTCAATAAAGAAATAAACTATTAAAAAATAAATAAAAAAATAAAAGAAAAAAAAAGTTTTATATTTTCATTTTATATATATGAAAATATATATCCATATATTTTCATATATATATAAATGCAGATTGTTTTTTATTTTTTTAATATTCAATGTAATCTTTTATTATGAAGATCTGTGTCTTCAGTTCTGGAAAGTGATATACCATTTTTCTGAATATTGAGTATCCTTTAGTTAAAACATCTCGATAATTTGTCTTTTCTTATAACTGATCCTTTATCTTTTCAAATATTTGACTATTTGCCTCCATGTTGTGGATAAAGCCATCTGTCCTCGCTTCCATGTCACTAACTTTTGTATCTGTCATTTCCGATCCAGGATTTATCTCTCATTTTTCCTGTTTCCTTGCATGATTAGATAGGAAATGGTCATGTTGTGTGCACACTTTCCAGTGATAACAGAGAGGACTGGAATTTCCTGCTGGCAGTTCTATCATAGCGGATGATGGTGTGTGGCCATAGTTTCCCTCCTCTCCTCTGTGGTATGGAAGCATCTCTAAGACTGCTTCTATTCTTGCTCTTGTTATCTGGGCTTGGCCGCCCAGACTGCAGCTGTCAGGAAGCAGAGGTTCTGGCTTCTTCTCACCTGGCTAGTCCTGTCGTTTAGCTAGAACACTTTAGATGTCACTGCCACCTTCTGCTCATAGGCTCTCTAGCTTGTCCTTAAATGGCAGCTTTTTCTTACGATTTTCCAGCTTCTCCTATCTCAGAATTTATTCAGTACTACAGTTTCTGATTGAGATTTCCTATTTACAGATTTCGTAACAGCTTCGAAAATCAGTCTACTGATGTCATCTTTTTCTGTGTATCTACAGTCCACATTTGATATTATTTCTCTATATTTGATGGTATTTGGAGGCCATATCAACATTGGTCCATCTATAATCTTAAAAATTTATATCTGCTGTTGCATCCCTTTGAACATTTCCTGGAAGCTTCAGAACAACCTCTGGCATTTTTGTTTAGTTTTGGAATGCTTTGGGTTTTTTTTTTCTATTTTGTTTACAATAAGGTGAATGAGACCAGTTGTAGTTACTGTAGTTAAGTGATTAAGTTTACAATAAATTTGTCATTCCACTGCGATTTAGGAGAGAAAATAGTCCTTCATTTTGGTATCTCTCTGATTGTGATCTGAATGTGAAACCATTGTGTTGTAAGATAAAGAAAGATTTCACAAAGATATTTGAGTACAGTACTGACTGGCACCATGCAGCTAGCAAATTACAATGTCTTCTCTCCTTATATGAATGTATTGGGCTACTTTAAGTTCCTATTTTTTGGAAATGTTATCTGAACCTCTATAGCTCCTTCATGATGTGACTTTATCTTACAGTACTGTTCCAGTTTTAAGTGAGAATATCATGCCACTCTCAGAAGATTCTTTGATACATTTCACACCCACACCTGCAGAAAATGGTTCTGTTTTAAAGGTAAGAATACTTTGATTCTTTACAATTTCTCCAAAGACCATACTGAGTTGAATCATGTGATGTACCAGGATACTAATGATTTCTAATTGACACCAGAACTTAAGTTATGAGAAAAGTGGGCCACATCTCCCAAAGGGATTACATAATTTTTTTTGTTTAGTTTTTTAAATTTGGGGACTATCTGGAAATGCTCAAGATTTATTCCTGGCTCTGTGCTCAGGAATCACTCCTGGTAGGGCTCAAGGAGCCATATGCAGTGCTGGTTCCAGGTTAAAGGTAAAGGTAAAGGTAAAGGCCCTCCCGTTGATCGTCGATTTGCTCGAGCGGGCCCAGTAACATCTCCATTGGAGACTTTGTTGTTACTGTGTCTGGCATATCGAGGTTGACTGCCTGTAAAGCAAAAACCTTGCCCACTGTACTATTCTCCAGCCTTGGACCACAGAACCTAAAATTTTTTTTTTTTTTTTTTTTTGCTTTTCAGGTCACACCCAGCAATGCACAGGGGTTACTCCTGGCTCTGTGCTCAGGAATTACCCCTGGCGGTGCTCAGGGGACCATATGGGATACTAGGAATCAAACCCGGGTTGGCCGCATGCAAGGCAAACGCCCTATCCTCTGTGCTATTGCTCCAGCCCCTAAAAAATTTTTTTAATTAACTTTATCATATATCAGTAGTAAATATTTGATTTGTATGCCTATTTTATATTAACCCAGACTTATTTAAAAATTTCTTAGGCACAAGGGATCATGAATGGAACATTTTTTTTTTACTTTTTGGGTCACACCCAGCAATGCTCAGGGGTTACTCCTGGCTTTGCACTCAGGAATTACTCCTGGCAGTGCTCAGGGGACCATATGGGATGCCGGGGATTGAACCTGAGTCGGCCGTGTACAAGGCAAACGCCCTACTCGCAGTGCTATCGCTCCGGCCCGAAATGAAACATTTTTAAGCCCTGCTCTAAATGATAATCATATTGGCAACTCCCTCACAAGAGTATCCCAGGGTTTTGTTTGTTTGTTTTTTAATGTTTGAATTTGGGGGTTTCGGTTGGTCTTTGTATTTTTAGTGGGGTTTTTTTGGATGCTGGCTATGTTTTCCTAGTGTCTGAAAGAGTACATGGCATGTACTAGGCACTAAATAAATATCTACCAGTTAAAATAAACTTTCTGAAGTAACCGGAACCTATCACTGATTATGTTGCAAAATAACTAGCTCGTCCCAAATCCTGCTTTTCCTGTATCCTCTTGCCACACACGTACCAATTAAGAAATCACAGAAACTCAGTTCATTGCCCAGTGAATGTTTTTATTTGCGAGTTAAATAAAAAAAATTATCTTTACAAATGAGCATGTATTATGTTGTTCTTTAATAGGCACAATTATTGTAGAAACTAACCAATTATTTCATAATAAAGAAATTAACTGTAGTTCCAAGACCCAGATTGTGCATAATATTTAGGAGTATAATTTTCAGACTTTTGGATTTAAAGAAACCTAACCTGAATGCCTTCAATCAAGAAGCAGCCTTTCTGCTAATTAAAAATCCAAAACAATAGAAATAGTGGTATCTGTAATCACTGAAATTGTTAAGATAATCTGAAAATATTTTTGGAACAGGGGATATGTAATTCAAATATTTACTGCAAACATAGTATGTAACAAATAAATACTAAGTTTTGAAAATTCAAATATGAATGAATCATGGTGTTCACAAACTATTGGGGGTACTAGCCCAGGACATAAGTTGGAAAAATGGTGAGAAGGAGAAGCTATAAGAAAAGCCATTTTTATTCATATTTGGAAACATGATCACAAGAGTTACTGTGCCCTGAAGGTAGAAGTGAACATAGGTCGAGGTACAGAGGTCATGAGCAGGATTCGAGCTCTATCCCCAGATGGCCTCCTCTGCATCACTGGTAAGCCCCAGAGGACTCTTCCTCTCCATGCATTGCCCTGAGTTCTGCCAGGGTGGCCCTAGTGTCCCCAGCACTGCTGGGCTGGGGCAGCACCACCACCTCAGACCTCTTCTTTGAACCAGTGGCCATTTGGCCAAGTAGCCCTCCGTAGGCTTCCGTAGGCCTCCGTAGGCCAAGTAGGCTTCCTTATCACTGCTGGGGAGGTTTCCCCTAAAATGAATATATACAAATGAAGGACTTTGTTGTTTCTGTTGTTATGTACTCAGCCCTAGATATTATTTTTCTTATTTCCAGATGAGAATTTTGTCTTCGTTAAAAAAAATTTCTATATCCCTCCCCCACCATGAATGTACATTTACAGACTTATGTTCTTCAAAAGATAACTTCAGATATAATTACACAAAGCATTGGTCAACATTTATGGGGAGGTAAGGGAAATATATACTGTAGGCTTTCGCAGACAGAAAAGCAAAGGACTTGTCCTCATGTATCTGGATAAAGAACAATTAGAATTTAGGCATTTCCTTTACGTATTGTCTCCTGTGCTGTACTTTTTATGTATCCTGTCAGTTCTAGGAACTGGGATCTAGGACAGTCTAAATATTACTAATACTACTGCTTTTGTGTCACCAAGAAAAATAGCAAAATTAAAAAGCACATAACTGGGGCTGGAGAGATAGCACAGTGGTTAGGGCATTTGCCTTGCACGTGGCCGACCCGGGTTCAACTCCCAGCATACCATATGGTTCCCTGAGCACCTCCAGGAGTAACCCCTGTGCATCGCTAGGTGTGACCTGAAAAAAAGCAAAAAAAAGCACATAACTTTTTCAAGTTTTTATTTCAACCTAATTCTGGTTATTTGTGAATTTGCTGATAGCTTTGATTCTAGAGTGTCTCTGTTTAACAGTAACCACCAGACACACCTGGGTCAAAAGGATAAATTGGGAAGTTATGAAAAATTGCACTGTGATGAGAAATAGACCGTGTAACAACATATACTTTATCTTTCATAGGATGCTACAGATGAATTGGATGCCTTGCTTTTATCTCTAACTGAGAATCTAATTGATCATACAGTCACACCTCAGGTAAATATAATATTGCCAAATGAAAAGAAATTTCTCTTTTGAAAAAATATCCTGATTCATTTTTTTCACCATGCAACAGTTCAAAACCGTTTTCTGTTTTGTTCTGCTTTTTAGGAGGGGTCACAGCGAGTGGTATTCTGGGCTTACTCTGGCTCTGCGCTCAGGGATCACTCCCTACAGGGCTCAGGGATCATATAAAGTGCCACTGAAACCAGGTTGGCCACGTGGAAGGCGGGTGCCCTATCCCCTGTATTATTCCTTCAGGCCTCCTGTTAATCCATTTCTTATCTGTTCTGTCAATAATTGTTTTAAGGATATATTTTTGATCATATACGTTGAGAATGTGCTGTGAGATATATGTATCTTACTGGTAATTATACCTTCTTGACTTTAGCACTTAAAAAATTCTTCTTTGGAGACCGGAAAGAAATTAGAACAAGTAATTAACTGAGTTCAATCCCTAGTACCTTATATGGTCCTCAGACCCCACCATGAGTAGTCCTCAAGCACAGAAATGAGAGTAATCCTTCATCCCAGTCAGATTTGGCATGAGTGCCACCCCGCCCAGGCCTGCCCTAATCTATCTTTGCCATCTTTTCCCCCTTTCGGTTGATACAAAAAACAGCAACCCTAACTTTAAGGTGTTTTTTTAAAGGAGATGTTGCCTAGTGTATAGTTTTCTGTTCCTTTTATTTTTAGCCTTTCCATGTATCCGTTGATTTTACTTATTTGTTTTGAAGCCACACCTGTTGGTATTTGGAGAACCATGCTGTGTTGGGAATCAAATCAGGCTCTCACATGTATAGCCTGGTGAGCTATTCTCCCTGGCATATCCATTGAATATTTATTTACTTAGGGTCACACTCAGGGATGCTCAGAATACTATGCAATACCAGGGATTGAACAAAGTGCCAGGTTCCAGAACAAAGCATGCATTCCAGCCTATGAGCCATCTCCTGACCCCTATTTTTTTGGCTTTATTATTTTATTTTTGTTTAGGTTTGTGGCCACACCTGTTGGTGCTCAGGATGTACTCCTGGCTCTGCACTCAGGGATTGCTCCTGGCAGTGCTCACAGGACCATATAGGGTACGGGGGATCAAACCAGGTTCGCTGTGAGCAGGGCAAGTGCCTTACCTGCTGTGCTACCTCTCTGCCCCCTGTACTTTGGTATTAAATAAACCCTTTATGAGTAATATTTTGCTGGTTCTTGATTCTCTCTTTTTTTCACCATTTCCTGTGGTAAAAGTACATTTTCAGAATTTTGGTGGAGAAGTTATACTTTTTTTTTTTTTTTTTTTGCTTTTTGGGTCACACCCGGCGATGCACAGGAGTTACTCCTGGTTCATGCACTCAGGAATTACTCCTGGCCATGCTCAGGGGACCATATGGAATGCTGGGAATCGAACCCGGGTTGGGCCGCGTGCAAGGCAAATGCCCTGCCCACTGTTCTATCACTCCAGCCCCTGTATTTTTATTCTTTTGGTGGATTTTTTTTAAAAGAAATTAAGACCAGGATTTATATCGTGTTTTTAAAATAAGAACCTAGGGGCTGGAGCAATAGCACAGCGGGTAGGGCGTTTGCCTTGCACGTGGCCTATCGGGGTTCGATTCCCAGCATCCCATATGGTCCCTGGAGCACCGCCAGGAGTAATTCCTGAGTAAAGAGCCAGGAGTAACCCCTGTGCATCGCTGGGTGTGACCCAAAAAGCAAAACCAAACCAAAGCAAAACAAAAAGAACCTAACACCACCACCAGGTCAAGTAATAGTCTAAGCCTCTATAAAAATAAGGTAATTTTGATTATAATTCTACATTTATTAGTGGGATCTAGAAAATTAAACATTATAAAGAATGTAACAAGTGCCCTGTGAATCAGGAGCAGTATGGGTGTTTTTATTGCTGTTTTCTCCATGCATGATAATTAGAGAATGACCTGTATATAAGCAGATTTTTTTTTCTATATAAGCAGTTTTTTTTGTGTGTGTACTTCCTTTGCACTATTCACTTGGATTAGTCGCAACCATTGTTTAAGGTACTATCAAGAAAGCCATGATTATTTGTAATGAACTGAAATTTTAGAAAATAAATGGTCAATTAGGGATTTTTTTTTCTTGTTTTTTGGGTTTTTTTTTTCTTGTTTTTTGTTTTTCTTTTTGGGTCACACCCAGCTATGTACAGGAGTTACTCCTGGTTCATGCACTCAGGAATTACTCCTGGCGGTGCTCAGGGGGACTATATGGGATGCTGGGAATTGAACCTAGGTCGGCTGCATGCAAGGCAAACGCCCTACCGGCTGTGCTATTGCTCCAGCCCCTCAATTAGTTATTAAGGGTAGTAGAAATCCTATTAAATAAATTGTAAGTAGTAGAATTTTGGAAATAGTAGCACTGTAGCACTATCCTCCCAGTGTTCATCAATTTGCTCAAGCAGGCACCAGTAACATCTCCATTGTGAGACTTGTTACTGTTTTTGGTATATCGAATACGCCACGGGGAGCTTGCCAGTCTCTGCCATGCAGGCGGAATACTTTCGGTAGCTTAGCAGGCTCTCCAAGAGGGATGGGGAAATCAAACCCAGGTCGGCATGTGCAAGGCAAATGCCCTATCCGCTGTGCTATTGCTCCAGCCATTTGAGAATGGTAAGATTTTTTTATTTTTTTGTTTTGCTTTTTAGCCAAACCCGGCGATGCTCAGGTGTTACTCCTGGTCGTACACTCAGGAACTACTCCTGGCAGTGCTCAGGAGACTATTTGGGATGTCTGGGATTGAACTCAGGTTGATCATATGCAAGACAAACACTACCCACTGTACTATCTCTCTGGCCCCAAGGAGTAGTATGATTTTAGAGTAAGATAATGTCAAGAGAGACTGGAGAGATAGAACAGAGGGTAGGTTTACTTGCCTTGCATTCGGCCAACCCAGGTTCAATCCCTGGCATCCCATATGGTCCCCCGAGGCTGTCATGAGTGATTTCTAAGTGCAGAGCTGGGAGTAAAGTATGAGCATCGTTGGGTGTGGCCCAAAACAGACAGACAATAAAAAAATAGTGTCTAGATGATGACAGTTTCCTAAATGTCTTTAAAGCACATGTGTTATAAAAAGAATTCATCTCAACTGAACCCATTAAAAACTGCAGCCCCTCCCATTTCCTCAATAACAGTGCATTTCATAGAGAGCATTATAATCGTGAAAATTAATGTGTAGTTTTTTTCTAGGTATCTTCAGCATCCATGATAACACCCCGATGGATTGTACCAGTAAGTTTATGATTCTACAATTTTTGTTTCAGACATTCAGAGTAAGGCCTTAAGGCTCCTATTCTTCCCTAAAGACACGGTGTAGTAACAGAGCTGTGCTAGTAGAATTCAGTGGATCCAAACTAGTGATTTAATCTTTTCTATGTGCAAATGCTCAAGGACAAAAATTTAAAAAGAAAAAAACAAAAACTGAGGTGAAGGGTGACAAAACAGACAAAACCAACCAAGAGCACCAGATTCATCTTTTTCATGCCTCAGTCAGTATGGAAGGGGACTCAGAGCTGAAGTGCTAATGGTGGCGGGAGGTGTCTCCGCTGCTCAGACATGCCATGTGTTTCCCACAGCAGAGCAATGTCCTTCGTAATGGTCTTGCTGGCAGTGCACCGTCCTCGGCAGGGAAGGAACCGCATGGCCACAGGGATGCCGTCTCCCTCATCTCTCCCCCAGCGCCATTCCTGGTGGATGCTGTGACGAGGTGAGGGAATGAGTATGACTGAACATCTGAACCGTCTTCTCCACTTTAAAGACTCTCCTTAATGACTAAAAGACACACAGTTTTCTTTTGTTTCTGGGGGGGGGGTCACACCTGTCTGTGCACTGGGGTTGCTTTTGGCTCATGCACTCAGGAGTTAACTCCTGGCGGTTCTCGGGGACCATATGGGATGCTAGGAATTGAACCCAGGTCGGACGCCTGCATGGCAAATGCCCTACCCACTGTGCTATTGCTCCAGCCAACAATTTTCTTTTTTCAAAATTTCATTGATTTGTATGTTATTTTAGGTAATAAGGTTGCAGGATTGTTAAAGCTTCTGGTATTGGTGTAGTTATTTCATACTGCAGCACCAAGGTGCCCACGAGCCTCGCCCAGGTCTGTGTCACCTCCAGTTCAGCGTTCACTTTCCCGCAACGATCCCCTCATTATTTGTTGATGACCAGTTATGGGTTTTGTGCCTACACTGACCTCCCTTGATACTACCTATGTCCTTGAGAACTTACACTTATTTTCTCTTAAAAGACACAGAAGTTTTCACCACATTTACAATTGGGGTTAAGTTGGTTTGATGAGGGAAAATTGAACAGCTTCTCAATTGAATGTCTTAAACAAAAAATAGACACAACCATCGATCAGCTTAACTATGAACAAACATTGCAGCGTACAATAGATTGTTTCCATGTTTTCCTTGCATGGACATACAGTTGAACTGAGAATGTGTGACAAGTGGTTTCTTACTACTTTGCCATTTAAGAAATGTAGCTTGGTCAGGGAATCTGTCCAAGAGCACACAGGAGGCTGGAACCAGGGGGTGGTGATGGTCTCCTCAGGCAAGTCTCTGCTCGCTTCCTGCAGCCTGTCCCAGTCAGTGCTCAAAGAAAACGAAAAGGGAAAGGAATTTCTGTGAATTGAATGGTCACTTCCCCGATTAGAAGAATATTCATTCTAGTTTTTGACTTCCCAGCAAATGAAGGATTCTTTTTACTCAGAATAGAAAGGACTCTATTTCACCTCTTTTAACACCTTTACATGCTATACTTATAGAGCACTTAAAAATTAAGATTTGGTTATATTAATGTCATTGACAAGAAATATTCACCCTTGTTCAACAAAAGACCTCATTTTGTTAACAAACACATTAGCTGTCTTTTAATTTCCTTTTAGAAATGTCGCAAGTTTATATTGTTTTTCAAACTGCCACCATAGCAAGCCTACAAATATTTATTCACCAGTATGAAATCCCTAAGGAGTGTTCATATGATGTCTCATCTAATTTTACAGTATCATCTTTGCTTTGGCCACTCTGAATTTGGACTCTTTGTCACCCAGAATATGATATTGCTTCTCTGACTGTGTCAGGGAAAATCCTCTCTTTTAATCCATGAAGGAGTGCTCAGAGCAAGAGCCTCAGAACTTCTTTGTGCACTGTGAAGTATTGTGCAGAAACAATCAAGTAGAGGAAGTTAGCGCAAGATATTAAAGAGATTAATCATAACCATAACTGTATTAGTCACCTATTTCTGAGTAAAAGGTTATCACAAACTTTGGCAACTTTAATCAGCACACATTAGAAGCTCATTGCTGTGGGTCAGAGGACCACACGCAGTCTAACCGCTGCCCTGCTTCTGAGTCCCTCCCAGGACTGCACTGGATGGTCCCCAGTCATGGTTGCTGGTAAATTCCGTTTCTGAAGAATAGTTGAACTGATGACCTTAGATTTGGGTAACAGTCCAGAGGCTCTGCTCTTCGTGCTGGTCCTGTGAGTCTCCTCAGTATAATTGCTTACTCATTAAAGTGAGCAGGCCAAGAAGCAGTAGAATCTGCCAGGAACTTGGAAGTCCGAAGTTGTTATACTCTAATCCCAGAAGTGCTAGCCTTGGACAGAGACTGTAGTAGCAGGACCTGCCGTATCCCACAGGAGGTGATGGCATGAGACTGGAAGTGCCAGGAGGTGGAGCACACTGGGGCATCATCTTAGAGTCTTTCCATTGTAAAAATGGTTAGCAAGAGAGTGTCAGGCGTATGCTCTGTGGCACTCATCACAACCTGCGATGTGTACTCTCTCTCTCACATACCCACCTTTCATTTCTCTATTTTACTTACTAAAAACAAAAAGGCTTAACTCCTAGAGATCAAGCCCCCTTGGTGGTCAGTGGTTGGAAGGATATCCAAAGAGGCTTTCAGAATGCCAGTAATGGTCTGCTCCTTACCCACCTGCTGATTCAAAGGTGTGTTCAGTTTGCAAAAAGTTTTCTGGCTGGGAAGTCCTTATTCTTGTGCTTTTCTGTTTTGTGTTCAGAAATATTGCAAAATTTATATTATTTTTCAAATTACATTACATTTTGAATTGTCTCCTCTTATCTCTGTTATAATCAGTAGGATATTTTTTAAACTATGTCTGGGTCCCATCTCTACAGAGTCAGAACACCCAAAGGTGTTCTCCATGTAAAATTTTGTGGCAGAGAACCTCAGTCAGTTTCAAAAGTGGCTGAAACATCGAAGCCTAAAAAGGAGTAGGGATGGAAATTGCAGAAATAAAAAGCAAGTCTGTCCTCATTGCAGTATCCTGGAATGACTCAGGAATTGGAAGTCTTTGTGGAAATAGGGATTCAAGATGAAGCTGAGAATGTGAGGCCTGGTTGAATCTGCTTTCAGACCACCCCCCCCACCCCTTGCCCCCACCCCACACTGCCTTGCTTAGTAGCATTTCTGCAGCAACCTGACAGGCCAGTGAGGCTTTGGGCTTACGAGTTTCTGTTTCTAGAGTAAAGCTCCAAGCTAAAACCAGGGAAGCTGACTTCTTTAAGTCTTCACACTGCAGAGTGAGATCTCTTACCATCCTTTCTTTCCACAACTTCCAGAATGCTGTTGGCCAAGTGTCTCCATGCGAAATCAGTCAAGCATTTTTTTCTGGAGAAACACTGTCGAAAGAGAAAAAGCATACAGAGTCCAACATTAGCCCTGAAAAAATTGCCAGGAATCTGCCTGACGGCCCAGCCTGGAAGCTCATTAGCCAATAAGTTTGCACACATGCACACAGCTTCCAAACTTCACTCGTTACCAGGACTGGGGAGCTCCCTCCCAAGTGGTACTCAGGAGGCCCAAGGGCTCCTTCTAGTGATTCTTGTGGCTCCGTGTGAGGGCCTGAGGAGGTGATGCTGGTTTTTATCCAGGCCACCATGGTAGCTTCCGGGGCCTCCAGAGCCATACCCAGCATGCTTGGAGGCCTGAGTTCTACCCAGCGATGTTCCCGACAGTGCCTGCGGGGGATAGTGTGTGGTGCTAAGATTAAACCAGAGTATCTACTTGCAAGGAATGAGCCTAAACAACTCTACTAACTCTCTGGCCCCTTACAGTGCTTCACTGAGATATGAGTAGGCTCCTTTGCTCTTAAATATGATGAAAGCCAATGTTTCTAAGATGCCTGAGGAATGCCCCTAACAACAAGTAAACTAAGAAAGGAGTAAATAAAGGCAAGAGCAGCAAAAACATTACAAGAGGTAGAATTGTGAGAGGAGTCTCCATCCATATAACAATAACAGTATTTTTTCCACTTTTCTTTTTTTATTGAATTACCATGAGATATAGTTACAAAGCTTTCATGTTTGAGTTTCAGTCATACAATGATCGAACACCCATCCCTCCACCAGTGCACATTTCCCACCAACAGTGTCCCCAGTATTTTTCCTGACACCCCCACCGAACCCTACCCCTGCCTCTATGGCAGGTGCTTCTTATTCTCTCTCTACTTTTGGGCATTATGGTTTGCAATACAGATACTGAGAAGCCGCCATGTTTGATCCTTTGTCCACTTTCAGCACACATCTCCCATCCTGAACAATCCCTCCAACCATCACTGACTTAGAGATCCTTTCTCTATCCCAGCTGCCTTCTCCCCCAGCTCATCAGGCAGGCTTCCAACCGTGGCGCAATTTTCCAGACCCTGTCTTTGCTGTCCTTGGGTGTTAGTCTCATATTATGATATTTTCTATTCCACAAATGAGTGCAGTCTTTCTATGTCTGTCCCTCTCTTTCTGACTCATTTCACTTAGCATGATACTCTCCATGACCGTCCACTTATAAGCAAATTTCATGACTTTATCTTTCCTAACAGCTGCATAGTATTCCATTTTGTAGATCTACCATAGTTTCTTTAACCAGTTGTCCAATAACAGTATTTTTAAAGAAAAATAACAGAAAATAGTATCCTTAGAAATTATTAACCATGGGCTGGAGTTGATAGCACAGCGGGTAGGGTGTTTGCCTTGCACACGGCCTACCTGGGTTCTATTCCCAGCATCCCATATGGTCCCCTGAGCACTGCCAGGAGTAATTCCTGAGTGCATGAGCCAGGAGTGACCCTGTGCATCTCCAAATGTGATCCAAAAAGCAAAAAAAAAAAAAAAAATTATTAACCTTGTGGAAAATAAAATCATGACAGTGTGGACTGAAAAAAAATCTCCAAAAGAAATCTCCAAAAAAAAAAAAAAGATGAAAAGTAGGAGAGAAAAGAAAATTGGAGGATTTATCTACAAAGTTCAGTATTTGAATCATCAGAAAGGACAGCAGAGGAGATAAAAATGTAAATATTATCAAAGAAAGGAATAGAGGTTTTCTGCATTTTTTTAAACAGTACCCAGTGCCAGAGACTAGAGATAGACAGGACTAAGAAACAGATAACTTCAGATTATGAAAGATAAGAAAGGATCTAAGTCTGCAGAGGGGGGATAAGTCCTTATAGGGTCCAGAGGCATGGCTTAGAGGCCTGGAGCACATGTTTTACGTGTGGGAGGTCTGGATTTTGTTCCTGGCACCCCATGAACCTCCAGCACTTCTGAGAGTGAACCCTGATCACTGAGCCGGGAGTAGCCTCTGGACACCCTCCTGGGATGGCCCCCAAACAAAAACAAACACAAAGAAAGAAAGCTTACATTCTGAGAGTTGGTCGTCTGAATTATAGCAGTCTGTTCTAAATACAGTTACCCAGCACAAGCGAGCAGGAAACAGGGCCTTCAGAATTCTAGAGGAGAAATTTCACCTTGAGTTTTATATCTACACAATTAATGAAGTGAGATAAAAAATGAAGTGAGATTAAAGGATGGGTGTTAGAACATTTTAGACTCTGCACTTCCTCCGCAAGCTTCTTACTGGAAAATGAGTGAGTTCAAGACCAAGTGATTTGCCAAGATAGGATGGTGTCAGACCCAGAAAACGGGTGTAGGAATTTGCCAGGAGAATTGGAAGGGGAAGTCTTCCAGGGTCGCAGAATCTAGAAAGATCCTGTGCAGATCTAAAGAGGGGGGCAGATGGTTGGAAGCCTTCCTAAGTGCTGGGAAGAGCAGTTGAGATAGAGATGGGGCCATCATGACAGTTATGGAAGGGATCATGGACGGGAGATGTGTGCTGAAAGTGGGTAAAGAACCAAACATGATGGCCTGATGGCCTCTCGGTGTCTGTATTGCAGACCATAATGGTCACAGAGGGCGTGGGGGTGGGGGGAGAAGAGTGGGTGGGGAGGGAGGGGAAGAGGGAGAGAGAGAAGAGAGAGAGAGAGAGAGAGAGAGAGAGAGAGAGAGAGAGAGAGAGTAAAAGTGCCTTCCTTGGAGGCAGGCAGGGGCTGGGTGGGGGAGTGGCAGGAGGAGTATAGGGATAGGGGATATTGGTGGTGGGAAATATACATTGGTGGAAGGATGGGTGTTGGAACATTGTATGACTGAAATTCAATCACAAAATCTTTGTAACTTTATCTCACAGTGATTCCATTTAAAAAATAAAAATAAAGAGGGGGACAGCGTTCCAGGAAGGATATTGCCAAGAAAAACACACAAACTTGTGACCCGCCTTAATTTCTCTTGAATGCCATGTTTGAGAGTCACCATCCTGTCTGTGCATCTAGAGCATACTAGAAATAAGTGCCGAGGGGCCAGAGCGGTGGGTAGGGTATTTGCCTTTTGTGTGACCAACCTGGATTCTATCCTAGGCATCCCACTGGGGAAGGGAAGGGCAGGGCAGGGCCAGTGATCACTTCATGAATCAGTGAAGGGCTGCAGTGCTGTGACATATAAGGCCCACTCCTCACCCCAGCAGAGACTCTTGGCCTGCCCTGTGGTTCCCATACAGCTCAAACAAGCAGACCATCTGGGACCAGCAGCCGGCCATCCATCCGCGCTCTGCAAAGCAAGACAGAGCAGCCCACTTCTTACGCCTGAGTGCATTGCTCTCAGGCTCAGCATTCAATCGTCCTAGATACTCCTAACTCATTCATAAATAGTTGTGTGATATATTTGAATTCAAGACAGCAGAGGAAACTGGTATCTTCAGGTTTCATGTCCAGGTGAAATAAACGTTCCTTATCAAGAAAACTCCCTTCCTTCCATGGACTACCTTATCGCTAAATCAGATGGTGCTGCATATTTTTTGAAGTCTGTAATCGGCGTGCTCTGGGCACTTCCTGTGGAGCAATGCATGTGGCCACCCTCGAGAGGGCCGCGTTGAATGACCCAGTCTTTCTTCCTTTCAGTTCTGCTCCAGCTTTGGCTGAAGAAGTCGTCTCGAAGCCGAAGTGTTTACTGACCACAGAGCTCTGAGGGACTGCCTCCCCCACCCCGCCTGGAACTGGAACGCCAGCACCCTCCCGCAGCTCATCCTGCAATCACTTTCTCCTTAGGGAAACGTGGTGGATTTAGGAGCCTGTTTTTGTAAAAAGCTCACCTAGATTTGGCTTCAGCTGCATGACAGAAAGCAGTTTACGTTTTCCGTCCAACTGGAAGGGTTTAATTACTCCACATTTTTGCCACAGTGAGGGAATATAGTCTTTTACTTTCTACAATTTTAGCGCGGTTACCGTTTCTAAAAAGAAGGGAATCTGTTTTGGTCGCTTCCTCTTCAAACTCTTGGTGCCATCTAGTGGCCATTACTGTTGACAGTGCCTCTGCAGCAAGGCCCCACTGGGATGGGGGGAAGTGGGGGTGGGGGGGCACCTTTTCCTCCTTGAATGTTTCTTCTCTGTCTAGTGTCGGTTTTGGGGTCCTTGATCTGAATGCCAGTTAGAGAAATCGCACTTTCCAGAAGTCACTATTCAAGAAATTCACAAGGACGCTTTATTAAGAGCAAGCCTCTTCTCCCTGCCCCTCCCTGGCTCCCCCCCCCCCATCATATTTATAGTACTAAAGAGAAGTTTAAGACACATTGAGTTTTAAGGTATTCCCCCATAATTTTGACGGTATTAGTACTCGCTGTGTCCACACTTAAAGTTTACACCAAAGTAAGAGAAAACCTTGAGAAGAGCTATTAATGGAAGCATTAATGACCCTTCCTCTCCTTGTCACCCCTGCCTTCCCATAGAAAGCATTTGCATGCACACACAGATTTCACTAACTTTCCAGCCAGGAAGGAAAATGGTGAGTTTCAGAGACCTTGAACCTTTTTTTCCTCGACGCTTCTGCACTTTTTCCTGAACCAGATGGGGAATGGGCCGTTCTAGACTCTGGTGCTGAAGGAACAGCTGAGAGGCTTGCAGGGCTTGTCCTTACTCCTCAGGGGACCAAAGTGGATGGACATAAGTTTCATTTCCTTTGACATACGCTGAGTACATTTGAGGCTTGTAAACTCTGGAGGGGAAAAGAAAAAACAAAACAAACCCCTGAAAACAAAGCTATCAGAACAGAAAAAGAGAATTAGTGTGGAAAATTTGGTTTCTTGAGCACCTTCCCTGTCTGAAATGAAACACAACATACTGAAAGAGCTCACTCACATCTGTTTGTCAGGAGTTTCGTGTTCATTTTGGAGATTGAAAAATCTCTATAGAATTTCCCCCTCCCTTTTGAACTGTACCAAAAAAAAATCCTGGATGTTAGAGTGGTAAATATACATGCTCATTCTAGAAAACAGAAAGAAAGCAGACAAATTGCTACCTGCAGTCTTAACACCCAGGAAAGCAGTTTTTGTTTTAAAGCCTTAGAAATGCGTAAGTCTCAGTTGCTATGGGAAAGGAAGAGCGGAAGGCTGTGTGGATAAAGCTGTTGCTAATCCCTGTTATCAAGGACTAACTTAAAGCTGTGCCCCCTGGAATTTGTTTCTGCTTTTTCTGCCCTGTTGTGTGCATGGAATTGAGTTGATTTACACTCCTAGGCGCAGAAGAACATCCAGTTTTATGATCTTTGAAGCCCCGTGGTTTGGGGCCTCCCTGGGCTCCCTCTAGCATAATCATCCTCGGGCAAACACACACGGCCTCTGACTGGAAAGCTCAGGAATTTTAATCTTGTGCTGTTTCCCAGGGAGCTGTGAGGACTGGAAACCACTTCTACACAAAACAGTTTTGCTGAAGTGAAGAAAGTTGGCACTTCTTGCTGGCTGCCTCTCCTTCGCTATTGTTCTAACCTAGTGAAGCTCATTGGAGGAACTCTTGCCAGGTTTTAATTGTAAAACAGATTTTCTCATGGCTGTGACACCTAGCACCAGGGGCTTGACCCAGGACAGTTTTGGACTGGATGTTCCGTTTTCAGTGTCCTGTCCACCCTCGCGGGCACAGCACTGTGAAGTTGTACATCTTTAAATCCAAGTAGCTAAAGCCTCGCTGACCTAGAAAGCCTCCATTTCCCATCCGGTTAAGAAGGTAGCACTGCCCTCACCCCAAACGTTCTAAAATTTAGGAATGAAGTGATTGAAAATATTCAGTAGCCATTCTGTCTTCAAGTTCCTGCTCTTGCCGGGTCCACTGTGGATAGGGTCTTTCTGAAGATTCCCTTGAATCTCATTGTAATGAAAATTCATCTCATGGCCTGATCTGAAGTAGGGAATTCAGGAATGAATGGGCCAAGGGTCCATCAGCTCCGGTGGATTAATACATGTCAGGTGTGGCTCAGAGGTCGCACGCTTGCCTGGCACGTGTGGGGCCCCGAGGTAGCTCTGAGACACCATGCACACAACCTGTCTAAAGTTCTGGTTGTTTCTGCAGTTGGTAGCACCCCAGATTGTGCCCACACTCCCCTTAGCTATAAGGTGGTGGGTGGGGCAGGCCCTGAGGATCTCTGTGAATGTGTCTTCGGGTGGGGGGGCATGTGGGAACCAGGATGCTGGCTGCAAGATGTGAGCGAGAGTGGGGAGAGCATCGGTGGCACCGGGGGCTGGTGGCCTTCAGGGCACAGCACGGGATCACAGGAGGCTGTCCTCCACCTGCACATGGGAACTGCCCGGCATGCCGACATCCCCTTGTCCGGGCAGATAAAACAGCCCTGCCATGTCTCTCAAAGATAGTCGGGCAGGAAGTTTTCCTGTTATCTCCGTGTGGTTTCCAGGCAATAGCATAATATAGTTTAAAAAGAAATATTGGCAGTGTTTAATTAATTCAGCAGTAATGAGGTGCTTGAAAAGCAGGCAGGAACAATTTGAGCATGGGGCTCGGAAGCAGTGAGCGGGGCCTCCCTGGACAGGCCTCTTGGAGGTGATTTATGACTGAGGTTACAGGCGGGATGGGCATCAGCCGGGGTCTGGGGTTGCTTTCTTCCAGGTGTCCAGGCCCAGATTGATGCTGGGAACTCACTGGGCACCGTGGTGCGAGGACGTGAGACTCGGAGCCCATGTCAGGCAGCGGGGCGGCTCCTGTCCTGGTTGCTGTGTGCCAATGCCGCCCAGCCGGGTGCCCTGCAGTGCCCAGAGAACTCTACGATCACTCTGAGTGACCGTGGTGGCAGAGGTAGGCGTGGCCCTGGCGTGGTCTAAAGCAGGCTCAGTGGGTTTCAGTCAGCTGCCATGGCTGTCTCCCAACCTTTCTCTTGTCACTGTTGGTTCCATCTTCCTACGAAAGGGTCCCCTTGTTTCCTTCTGGCCCCAAGGACTGACTCGGGACCCTGCAGAATCTAGACAAGGCCTTATTAACAGCTATCCTCATTTTCTTATGTTGGTGTAAGAGAAGTTCTTTAAATATAAAGAAATGTTGTGTGTGTGTGTGTGTGTGTGTGTGTGTGTGTATACACACATACCTTCCAAGTCTTTAACTTTCAGGGCTGGAGCAACAGTAGAGTGGCTAGAGTGTTCATTTACCTTGTAAGTGGCAGACCCAGGTCTGGCCCCGGCTTCCCATATGGTCCCCCCAGCACCGCCAGGCAGGGGATCCCTGAGTGCAGAGTCAGAAGTGACCCCTGAGCACCACCTGGTGTGGCCCAAAACCAAATAAGAATCTTTAACTTTCTGTTTCCCCTTTGATACAGTCCTGGGTGTGCTGTGGACAGTGAAGGATGGGATTTTCGAGTTCAGCTTTGCATCGGGACTCCTGCTTCTCTCCTTCCCGGCCTCTGTCTGCCTTAGAGAAGCCCCAGATGGAAAGCCCCGGCCGGGGTCCCTTCAGAACCCTCAGTTGAGCAGAATTACTTGGCAGAGAGAAAAACCTTTACTGTCTGTGTGTTTGGGGGGCCACACCCGGCAGTGGTGTTGCAGGTGACAGCCAGGCCTTCTGCATGCATGCAGAGCACATGCTCAGCCCCTTGAGCTCTGTCCCCTGCCTCTGTCTCTCCTACTTTTGGGGGTTGGTGGGGGGCACACCTGGTAGTGCTCCTGACTGTGCTCAGGGACCTTATGGGATGCCAGAGATTGAACCTGGGTCAGCCATGTGCAAGGCAGGCAGGCACCCTACCCGCTGTGCTGTCACTCCAACCCTAGTCTTCCCTACTTTTCTCTAAGGGTCCCAAGAAGCAGACTTCTTGTCCTTTCCTTTAGAGCAGGGGCAGTGCACTTTCTATAAAGATGCTCCGCCCTCAGCTCTCTGCCCATGTCGTGCACCTGCTCTGAGCAGCCAAGTGAATGCACGTGCATAGCCGTGTTCCAGGAAAGCCTGACTGAAGTGGGAGCAGAGGACTGAGTTCCAGCCCCATGGAGGAGAGGAGGGGCTCCCTGGGTGTTGGGCAAGACTTCCTGTAGGTCCTGTTGCGGGCCTCTGTCACGGGGCAGCACCTGACATTCCGAGACACTGGCGTCTCGGTTCCATCTGGACAGGATGCAGTCCTGGCCACGCAGCTTCCACAGTCTTAGCGAGGCCTGACCAGAGCCTGATTTATCTTGCCCTCAGCCTCTCAGTTGCTTAGAAACCTAGAATCCTCTGCAAACTAAAGAATGTGCATTTCTCTCTCTCTCTCTCTCTCTCTCTCTCTCTCTCTCCCCACCCCTTGAACATCTCAGTGCTGTTTCTTGGGGGATCAGAAGTTGGAAGCTTTTCTTACTGATTAGCCCCCAGGATGAGCACGTGCGTCTGAAATACAGACCTGCCCTGAGCCTGGCTCTGGGCTCTTCCATGTCCGTGGAGCTGTGGTTCTCTCCCAGCCTAGAGAGAGGGTTTGGGGGAGCTTCTTTAGCCCGTTGCTTGAGGCAGTATTCCAATCACTTCTCAGGATTTCTTTGTCAGAGAGGTTTGGACACAAATCTCTTGTTCTTGTCTCTTCCTCTCTCAATGAGGACCACACTAACTATGTCATGTTTACTTTTTATAGATGTGAGGCGTTGCAGTAGCCTTGAAAGTGTAATTTATTTTTATATCGAGTGCACTGTTCACTGTGTTCCACGGTTTCCCCTGCCTTGCATTAGACACACTGCACTGAACTATGAGTTTGTACACTGAAATGACGGTTGTAGATGTGACCACAATAAAGCTTTAGTGAGATATTTATGTGTGGATCAGCCATTTCCATTTATTGCAAGTGCATCACCTACACGTGGGCCTTTTCTGGCTTCCTCGGAATTGTTAGACCAGCTTTGCCCTTAATAGAACCACGAGTGAGTGAGTACCACAGCTTGGCAAATCATGCCTGGGGAGTCAGGCACTTTTAATGCTTAGAAACCTCAGGGATTGTAATCAAATATTCTGAACTGCTTTATAAAAAAAAATTTTTTTTTTAAAAAGAAGAAACCTCAGGGATCAAACTGGCTTAGCCTGGAAGGCACAAAGGTCACTCCCAGGAGCTGTAGAATTCAAAGCTCTAACGCGCTTAATCCCCGTGAGCCCTTGGTGAGACTGTTGGACAAGCCTGTGCCTCGTTCCTTTGGGTGGCATATCCCGGTGGATGGTTGATGGGGACAGTGCTGCTGGGGGTATTGTCAGCACCTCGGTTGGACAGAGGCCCACCACCAGCAGAGGGTCTGCACCGGACGTCTGAGATGAAACCTAGTCTTGTATAAAGAATGACAGCTTTGTTTTTTTGTTCGTTTTTTTTTTTCTTCATATTTTGTTCCCGGAGTCCCTTGGAGGGGAGCGGGTTGAGCTTTCCCTCCCCGCCCCGACCAGGGCTACGGCAGCCGAAGACCTCCAGGACCAGCCACCACCATGCTGAGACCACTCTCCGCACACCTGAAGGTACTGGCAGAGGGACAAAGCCACGCGGGTTCCGGGGCCGAGACCTCCAAGCCTACTCGATTTGGAGTCGAGCATCTTCCACCCAGATCCTCCAAATTCCAGTAGGCGGGGGTCACACCCACCACCTGGCCCCCTGGCGCCGTGTAATCCCATCAGCGGCCAAGACTCAGAGACTATAAAATCCAGCTCCCGGAACCGTGCGGCCGCATTTGCGGCCGCGCGACATCTTATCAGGACATCTTTTTATGACATCTTATTATCTCATTCCTACTTTGGACAAACTTGCAGGCTATTGAATGTAGCCTGCCCACAGGGCAGAGTCTGGCAAACTCCCCGTGGCCTACCAAATATGCCAAATACCAGTAACAATGATGGGTCTCATTCTCCTAAAGAGCCGTGAATATAACCTCAGGGCTAGGATGAAAGAGATGTTACTGGGGCCTGCTCGAGGCAATCGACGATTAACAGGATGATGAAATGAAATGAAATGAAATATTTTGTTATTTATTTTTGGTTTAGGGGCAATGCTCTGAGGTTACTTCTGGTTCTGTGCTCAGTAATTATTGCTGGTGGGCTCAGGAAGCCATAAGGTTTGCCAGGGATCAAACCTGGGCCGGCCGCATGTGAGACAAGCACCCTCTGCCCTACCCCCTACACTATTTCTCCATCCCTTAAAGAATCAGGTTTTGGAACCGTTTTGTATGATTTCTTCCCATAGCAGTATACAAACAGGCCTGATTGGCGTCCTGCTCGTCATTCCCTGGGCCTTGCTCTTTGAAGTGGGCTGAGACCAGTCCTGCCTCCTGCCTCCTGCCTGGGAGACAGAGCGCGAGTACTGGAACCCATGTCTAAGGCCCTCTTCCTCCCCACGCCCCATGTGGGTACGTGAGACCCTCACACACAGCTCCACATAGTGCTCTGCCCCCTGCCCCAGGCCCGCCTGCACTGCTACCTCTCGGCGACTGCCCCTGATTGATGCCCCCCACAATCCTGTGGGTCCCATTGAGTCCCTGTCTGCCCCTCCCCCAACCCCGATGTGCAGCTCTACCCTCTTGGCCAAGTTGCATCTGGCTTGAGCTCTGTCACAGCCTCCCAAGGGCCTCCCTGCATGCAGTCAGCTGAATTCATTTTCCAACCATAGTCAGAAACTGGGGTCACATCCCTCTTCTGCACCGAAGCCCCAGTGGTTTTTCATTGCCCCAAATAAGAGTCCAAACTCCATTGATGGTTCTGAGGCCC